AATCTTGGGGCATTGGAATCATATCAGTGGCTTTGTCCTTTGCCTCCTTGGGGTCAGGTACTTGTGCTGAGGGAGCTGAAGTTCCCAGGCTGTGGGGAAAGCACTCCAGCAGGGCCACTGGCAAAACAGTCAGGCATAGCAGTGGAGTCTGTGCTGTGTGAACACACTTGCAGAATCAGCCAGGCAAGAGCCTTGGAGGGATTGTGGACAGGAGGACATGCAGAACAGATGTGTCCAGAGAGCCTTGGGTGATGGGTGCCTATGGCTGCATTTTGTTGCAGCTGCTCCACATGTAAAACCCCCTGGGGTCCATGTAGACTAGAGCTCTGTCTTTGTCTATTCTTTGGGCAGATCCCCTTGACAACTGAAATGACAGCAAGAGTTATGGGATCTCTTGTAGCTAGGATGCCAGAGGTTCATGGTGAGAGTGGAGTGCCCTGCTGTCACTTCACTCACCCATTCCTTAGGAAGTTTTCAGGACCAGGAACTAATCCTGGTGCTTGGCACACCCATGCAGTTTTCCCAGCTTTCTCTCTATTCAGCCTTAGTATCTGTGTAACCTATCAAATCTCAGTAATTTCTCTCCAAAGATCTGTTTGAAGTACCAACAGATAGTGGAGAATTCACTGGTTCATTTATTGGACATTTTGGTCTCTTTTTTTTTTACTTTTTATTCTTTTTTATTGCATTTTAGGTTTGGAGGTACATGTGAAGAACATGCAAGATTGTTGCATAGGTACACACGTGGCAGTGTGATTTGCTGCCTTCCTCCCCTTCACCTATATCTGGCATTTCTCTTGTGGTGGGAGAAGTGCTTCCTGGATGTGTCTATTTGGTCATCTTGTCCCTCCCTCCAGAAACTACTTTCAAAGAGGACCAGATGGTGTATTTAGAAGACAAAGACTTCAAAGAAGCTATAATATATTCATAGTGCTGGGCACAGTGGCTCATGCCTGTAACCCTAACACTTTGAGAGGCCATCAAGGGATGATTGCTTGAGACTGGGAATTTGAGACCAGCCTGGGCAACATAGTGAGAAAACAAAGAACTTAAAAAAACATGCTTAAGGAAGTAATGGAAGATGATCTCAGTGAAAATGTGTAACAACCTCCAGAAATGCTCTATGCCATAAAAGAAGAAGAAAACCTGGCAGAAAAATTCAAAATTAACTTTATCAGAATGTTCAAAATTAATAAAGTTTTATAGCAATCAGAGAGCATTTATTTAGGAAAAATAGTTAAATCTTGGTTAAATCAACAAGCTTTGTGGCATTTCAAATAGTCCTATTCACATCTGTGTCTCTCCAACTCTGCAATAGAATTTTAAAACAATCTTGGTAAAAGCCAGCAGCAGCCTGACTGTCACTAGAAGAAAAAACAAGGTTAGACATCCTTCAAAACCATATTGTCATTATTATTATTGTCATTGTTTGATTTGTCTGTTGACAAATTAAATTTAAATTTAATTAAATTTTTTAAAGACTTGACTTGTCACTTAACCAATTTGAAAATCCTTTTTCATGGAAACATTTGTCAAAAATCATGTGTAGAAATTGTTTAATATCACAACTACCTGAAGTGGCTGCAATGGTTCAGGCAGACAAGAAATTGACCAAAAATGGTAAATGGAAAAACTAAGTTATAAATTGTACATAGTGGGCTTTGAAAGTTGTTATATGTTCCTGGGAATCTAGAAAGCCACAAGTATGTGTAGGGCTATGTACAAGCTCAGGGCTGTACACATGTGAAGGAAAAACCTGAGAAAACCCTGAGCCCTCATTACTGGCTAACCTTAAAACTCTGTGTAAACAGGAACTGGGGGCTAAGGACGAGCTATAAATTGCCTACCAGAACACTGGAGATGTGTCCAGACATAAAAAGCTTCTCAGTGAAAACTAGGATACTTACTAGTTTCGTGTTTGTAATGAAAACTCCGTTTTAAATGTCAACTGACCACTAAGATAAATGAGCAGAGACTTCACTGACCACATATGAAAATAATACAGACTTCACAGAATTAGATCAGAAAAGTTACTAAACAAAAGACAATAACATCAACAGCAAACAATAGCAACAACGAACACCTTGGCAGGAGGGAGTATCTAATTTCCAGAGTTACCACATTATATTATTTTCAATGTCAAGTTTTCAATAAAAATCATAAGACATGCAAAGAAACAAGAAAATACTGCCTATAATGGGAAAAATCGCTTGACACTGTCCATTAAGAAGCCAGATGTTATATTTACATAGCCTTTAAATTAGCTATTTTAAATATGTTCAAAGAATTAAAGAAACCATGCCTAAAGAACTAAAGGAAAGGATGAGAGTTGTTCCTTATTGAATAAAGAACATTATTAAAGAAAGAGAAATTACTTTTAAGAGAAACTACAGTAATTCTGAGGTCAAAAAGATAACTAGATTTTAAAATATCTCAGCAGCCGATGTGAGCAGATGGAAGAAAGAATCAACAAATAGTGAAGACGGTCCATTGAGTTTATCTAGTCTGAGGAACAGAAAGAAAAAAGAATGAAGAAAAATAAACAGAACCTCAGATAACTGTGAGATACCATAAACAGAACATTCTGTTTGTATGGGAACATGCAAATATACATTCTGTTCTGTTTATGGGAACTCCACAAGGAGAGGGAGGAAGGTGGAAGGAATAATAGCTGAAGAAATGTCTGAAAACTTTCCAAATTTGATTAAAAATATCAATCTGCACATCAAAGAAGCTCAACAAACTCCAAATAGTGAAAAAACACGAGAGCTCCGAATCTTGACACTTAATAATCAAACTGTCAAAGGCCATAGAAAAAAAGAATCTTGAAAGCAGTAAGAAAGAAATATGTAAGGGGGATCCTTAATTAAAAATTATCGGTTGATTTCTCATCAGAAATTATAGAGGCCGGAAGGCAATGGGATGATATATTTAAAGTAACAACAACAAAAAAATCACTATCACCTGAGAATTATTTTATCCAGCAAAACCATTCTTCAAACATGAAGGAAAAGTAATATATTCCCATACAAACAACAACTCAGATAATTTGTCACTACAAACCTGTTTTACAAGAAATACTAAGGGGAGTCCTACAAGAAATACTAAAGTGAGTCCTTCAGGTTGAAATTAAAGGACTCTAGACAGCATCCCAAATCCGTATGAAGAAATAAATATCACCAGTAAAGATAACTATACAGGGAAATATTAATTAATTAAATTTCTGGGGTAAACCTAAGGAGAAAAATTCAAAAAATATAATAATAAGTAATGAAAACGAAATTACAATGCGACTGTAGAAAATATTTTACACAGAAGAAGGCAGGAATGGAGGAACAGAAGAAAAAACATATAATACATAGAAACAAATATCAAAATAGCTAATGTAAATCCTAACCTATAAATTACATTAAATGTAAGTGCATTAAACATTCCAACTAAAAGCAGAGATTGTCAGAATGTAAAAGAAATACAACTATTTGTGGTTTATAAGAGTCAAAATTTAGATTCAAATAAACAAATAGGTCAAAAATGAAAGGACAAAAAATTTTATATCATACAATTAGTAACCAGAAGAGAATTTATATTAATACAAGACAAAATACACATGAGTGTAAATATTTATGACCTTGGCTTAGTCAATAGCTTTTTTGCATATAATACCAAAAGCACAAGCAGGAAAAAAGATGAATTAGATTTTTTCTATATTAAATACTTATGCTGCATATTATACTCTCAATATAGTGAAAAGACAACTTATGTAATTAATGAAAATATTTGCAAATCTTGCCTCTGATAAGGGACTTATATGAGAACATGTAAAAATTTCTTGCAATTCAACTATAAAAAGACAACCCACTTAAAAAATAGAAAAGGTATTTCAATGGACATTTCTTCAAATAAGATTTATAAATGGCCAATAAGCACATGAAAAATTGCTAAACAACATTAGTTATTAGGGAAATACAAATCAATACTCCAAATGGATATCACTTCCCACCACCTAGGACATTCATAATCCAAGAGATGAATAACAGCAAATGGATGGGGAGAAAGTGGAACCCTCAATACACTACTGGTGGGAATGCATGATGGTGCTTTTGCTTTGGAAAACAGTATGGCAATCCCTTAAACGTAGAGTTGCCATGTGACCTATCAGTCCCACTCTTAGGCATATACTCAAAAGAAATGAATACATGTACCTTACACACTTGCACACAGATGATCACAGCAGCATTATTCACAATAGCCAAAAATTGAAAACAACCCAAATGTCCAATTGATCAATCGATAAATAAAATGTATAACCATACAATTGGATATTATTTAGCAAAAAAAAGGAACAAAGTCTTGACACATGCTAAATCATGGTTGCATCCTGCAAACATTATGCTAAACGAAAATAATCCAGACACCAAGGACTACATATTTTATTATTTCATTTATATGAAATATCAAAAATAGACTTCTTCTGAACGTATTCATAATTACTTTCTATTTGGTTTTGCTAAATGGCTGGAATGTAATCTGTGGTCATATTGTTACCATGAGGGTAGACCTTACCTGATTATGATGTCTACACAGGAAAGAGCAGAGCCAAGATATAAAGAAAGACAGATTTATAAAGGCATATTTTGAATACAAAAATCCATCTGGATTCCAAGTAATCCCACTTAAGTGAATTTAAAAAGTCCCAGTTTACGTTGGGTCTCTTGTCACATGCAATAGAAAGAGTCCTAACTAATGTGGTTCTATAAAAACAATTATTTGTTTTTCAGTTCCAAAGTAATTAAGATATTGTAAATTCAGGAAAAACGTGCTTCAGAATTTTTTTGACCACAATAGTAATGTCTTTTTGTGAATATTCATTCTTCAATAGAATAATTGACCAGTAGAAAAGGCCAAACCCTGTCTAGTATGTATATATCAGTTAAACATGCAATAACTTGGATTATATGATCATCATTTTCATATTCAAATTTCATTTAAAAATACATTACTTTTTAGTGGTAATAGTAGTCCTTCCACCAGTGGAGGGTTGGTTATGAGATGAGTATATTTCTTGCCGCAACTTTGAGAGTTCCTTACAAATAAAAGATAATATAATCATTTGAAGGAAAGTAGAATGACATAAGAAGTATATTTAATCATTTAGCAAGGTTACTAACAATAAATACATCCCCTCCTTTTTACTCCTTTTTAGCCTTGAGGTAATAATGTTCTAATCCCACTTGCTGAATATCATCTAGTGTTGCTTTGCAATACCTAATAAGTTATATTATATGTCTGTGCAGGAACCTGCAACTGATACAGGATATCTAAATTTGGAGGTTAACTTGAGATTGAATGGGCATGGTTGTCAAGATGAGGATGTGAAAGTTTTTGCTCTGAAAAGCCTTAAAATTATGTCCATAGAAGAAAAGTATTGAAACTTCAATATATAAGCAGATATAGTTTCCTAACAGAGAGTTTATCAATGAATGTTACTACAGGCACCATTTGCTCCATAATAGCAATACAATATTACTCATAATTTTTAATAATTCCTTCAGTACCTATTGAATGCCATATCATGGGCTACAGCCTACAGATACAAGGAGGAATATAACACATGCTTCAATGAAGCATCTCATAACATATTAAGGAGGTCACAGTCTACTGGGAATTTCACTGCTAATGAAATATAAAATCAATGTCTTAAAATATTAAATGTACAACAGCACTAACTTTTTGCTTCCATTCTTTCATTTGAATTGTTTATCCTGAAATATGTATATTCTACTTCCTCACTTGCACAAATTTTATTTCATGAAATAAAGTGAGTCCTGCATATGTGTCCTTTTCTAGTCCATGGGAAGTATTTATCCCACAGTTCTAAGTTGTATTGCTTTTCTCCACCCCCACCCCTTCCTTTTATACCTCTGACTGACGCTTTATAAGAGAATCCTTCTCTTCCAGCAAGCTTGTCAGTTCATGAAGCTTAAATTGGAAGTCACTACAACTTCCGTCTCTCTTTGAAACATCTTTCTGGTACTGGTTTAATTGGGACTAAGGATTTAAAAAGAATAAGTATTATTACAATCTTCATTTACAAAACATGTAACTGAATTCCAGGGAGGTTAAGTGACACAAACTCACACAGCTAGTTATGAAATGAAAGTGAAATGCCAATAGTCATAAACTTTTACAGAATTCCATGAGTATGTGATATGAATTGAAATGCCAATTACAAATTTCTCCTTTTTTTAAGGTGCCTTTGCTATGTAGTACTAAACATTATTTATGTAACAGTTTTAGGCCGCAAGATTTAAAGTAAAGCTAAGAAAACAGACAATTTAGATTCCTTAAATTACTAATTAAGGAAATTATAATATCAATAACTACTATTACATTCTGATTTTCAGTTTACAAAATATTCCTCCTGCATGAATTATCACAGTTTTCACAGCAGCCCTGTGAAACAAGCATTATTATTATTATTATCATTATTATTATTTTGACACGGAGTCCTGCTCTGTCTCCCAGGCTGGAGTACAGCAGTGGCATGATCTCGGCTCACTGCAACCTCTGCCTCCTGGATTCAGGTGATTCTTCTGCCTCAGCCTCCTGAGTAGCTGGGACTACAGGTGCGTGCCCCCACGCCTGACTAATTTGTGTGTGTGTGTGTGTGTGTGTGTGTTTTTTTAGTACAGACAGTATTTCACCATATTGGCCAGGCTGATCTCGAACTCCTCACCTCTTGATTCACCTGCCTCGGCCTCCCAAAGTGCTGGGATTACGGGCGTGAACCACCACGCCCAGACATAAGCATTGTTATAATCTTCATTTACAAAACAGAGAATGGGCTCCAGAGAGATTAAATGACACCTCCACACAGGAACATAGCTGCAACTCCAAGACAGGTCTTCTACTACAAATCTTGTCCATTTCCCTCTTTAACTCATATGTGTCTAGGTTAGGTTGAAGTACTATCAGTAATGTTAGGATGGAAAAGAAATCAGTGAAAGAAATCTGCTAGAAGTACTGGTAGGTTTTTAAAAGAAATTATATTTTGTTTCATTTTGATTTTTGGTAAAAATTATACAGTGATATTTGGAGGGACAAATATGTGATTATTTTGTTTATTAAAATATTTATGTATATTTTACTACATTTAGGAATCAGGAAATTAAGGATTAGATTAAGTAAATTCAACCTAGAATTACAAGATAAGGCAATATATACTTACAAATATCATCTTAATTTTGATGTCAATTATAGATACATAAAACTTAACATTGTTTTTATCCTCATGCTTGACAAAGTCCTTGCTATTTATCATCCCTCAATATTAAGTGAGAATTTTTACAAATCTAGCTGTGGCTCTGCTGGGTAATCTCAAATATTGCTTTTGCCTGCATAAACATGCTTTAGGCAAAATCATAAAGAGTCCTCCACTTATCCCAAAAAATAAATTAATAGAAACCAAAACACTGAAATGAATGTCTTCTTTTATTTTCCTAGAAGAGATTAAGCTGAACTAGAAAATAATTTAATGATCATATTTTAGATACAGTAATGTGTATTTAAAACAAAGGGATCCATGACATATTTCTAAAACTCTACCTACAGCTAATTTTTTCTTGTAGCTCTAAACTTGAAGCCATCATTATGTTGCTAGAAAGTTTGTGTTGACCTGTGTATTTATGCAATGTATTAAGATCAACATACCCTCAGTCTGCAGATCTCTCTATCTTTCTCCATTCTCAAGTTTTTTACCATCTCCGTGTAATGGTTGCCAATCTCATCCATTTTAGCCTGCAGCATTGGCCCTGTGCAAGTCTCAGAAACCTATAGAAGGCAAAATAACTATCTGTAATTGGATTGTTTTGAGGAAAATACATATTATATTACAGGGATTATTATTAGATGAAAATTACATGATTAAGACATTGAAATAATGCAAGCGATTTTCAGGAACTGCATTATAAAGCTCAAATGTCAGTGATTAAGATCTAACAGTGTGTGAGGGAAAGCAGTTCGTATATTTTCTCAAGATAAATAGAATATATATATTTACTATTTATATTGCCAATGCTAGGATTACAATGATGTAACTAAGGCAGTACTTGGTTTTTAAAATGAAGTTTTAATACCTGAATTCTAAGGTTTTGATTCTCTTGCTCTAAATTACGTTTACAATATTCCAGTTCTTTTAGTCTGTATTCCATGTCTGAAAGTGTATGTCGAAGAGAGAGATTGTTTTCTTCCAATGCCTGGCATTTTGAACTTGAGTCTTGAAGTCCTTGCTGTAAAGAAGACACACGTACATAAGACAAATGCATTTTGTTTTTGGTGAGGGAGTGGTCTTTTTATTGATCCATTTAATTGAATCAAGTAATGATTTTCCCATGCCCAGTTTTCTTATACTCTTGGTCTTACATGGTACATTAAGTCGGCCATGTAAGATATTATAGTGTTGCCTCTAGTCTCACTTTCCCCCTCACTTTGAGTGAGAGGGAATCATGACTAGATGAATTTATAATGTCTCATTTTAACAATCAGATGCTTGCTACTCTGTGACAATACTGTACCCTGCTTTCTAGTAGGCACAAAAATGAACATCTGACTGATGATTTATGTGACAACTAGTAACTGAGAAAGAATTTGGAACAGTCATAGGAGTAAAGATCAGGAACAGGTAAGCCTTAGAGACTACTTACAATTTCCTAGGAATTCTCTCTGCTCAGACATCCAGAGAACTCATCTAGAGTTTTTTCATTCATTTATTTATTGCACAAATATGTGTTAAGGTCTACAACAGCTGTTTTCATTGACATGTTAGTAGATTAAATAAATGCATGAACCTAGATTTTTAGTTTTTATACAACTCTGGCCACCCAACAACATAAATAATTGTATGCCCTATATACTTTATATCTAAAATACATGAGATTATCTGTTTTTCTGAGAGGGCTTTCAGCCATTGGAAATGCTCAAAGCCTGTCAATTCTCATATGAACAAATTTTTCCATCATATTTTAATTCTATCTTGATTATATATCATAACCCCAATGTGCCAGTAAATGTGTATATGAAAATCTATTAATCTAGTTTAACATCAATAAAAGCATCAATTTACCTGCTGCTGCTGATTATTTGCTCTCACTGATGCCAAGAGTTCTTCGTACTCTTTTATTTGAGTATCTTTGAATGATAAGTCTTTCTCAAGTCTCATCTTGTCATTTTCCAGAGACTAGAAACATAAATTATTTATTATGATTCAGAACTACAGAAACTTGTCAACAGTCACATAATACAAAGACTTGTTTACCTTAGAAGATTTAAATAAGCACTTGTTTCATTTGTTCTTGCTTAATAAGGCAAAATTCTTAAAAGTTAAGACAATATGGGATATGAAATGATTGAAACTTCTAAAATCTTCATTGAAAGAGACATTTTGATGGACTGACTAACCGTACATGAAATGAAACAGAACTTTCTGAAATCTTTTAATGTTTTCTTCCAATCTCCAAAGAGTCCTTGTTAATCCCAGCAGGTGGTAAATTTTTTAATTAGAGTCTAAATATGTTCATCATAACCCAGAAACAGCAAAACTACTCCAAAGTCCTCAAGGCATTATTCAAAGTGTGGAAAGCATTCTGAATGTATCTAGCTGATGGCACCAAGAACACCAATTAAAACAGAAAACAGAAAAAAAATAATTTTTTAGAGAAAAATGTTTTCAAGTTATGTTTGAATGGAAATTCACAGTATGCTTTAGAAATATGAAAAAGGGGGAATTTACCTTCAATGAGTCAGATTATTTTAATTTTGCAAACTACTGTCTGCCTTATCATTAAATTGCTTTAGTAGTAAACTAAATAATATGTTCACATCAGACATTCTTTCATTTATACTTTAGATACCTCTTTTCTCCTCCCTCAATGCCAATTAACTGTTTGAAGAAAATAATTGAGCTTTGTCTGAGTAAGTATAATATTGTGCTGTATTAAATTTTAAAAAGGTATACTGGACATCTTTATTTCTGTATCAGGAAGCTAGGAAGTAGAAAGGCTTTGGAAAATATAAAAATAAATCTTACTGTCAAGTCATTTTGAAGATGTCCAAGCTCCTCCCGTATGTTGCTAAATGTGGACAGCACTAACCGGAGTGACTTATCAGACATACCCCTCATCTGGAGGAAGAAAGGATTAATGGTTTATTTTTACTAACATTTGAAAATAAGCAATATAAGTGAAAGTTATCTTTTTTTTGTTTCTACTAGCAAATGCATTAATAATTTTACTTTGATATGGCAAATTAGAATAGTGATACAAGGCATTTTGTCAATAATGTATTTAAGTAATCCAAATAACAGTCCTGAAGATAGCATAGCTATGTATTTATAACAAGTAATTATTATTTTTGCCATGGCAAAGTATCATCTTTGTCACAAGGTAGAATTCTATCAGCAAAATTTTAATTTTACATTGTTCTTTATTTAAAAGATTAGAAGAGATGAGACAATTAATCATCAATAATAAAATGAATCTCCCTAAGTGTATTGCCAACTTCCTGAATTTTGCCTTAGGTGAGAAGAATATAATACGAATTAAGTTTAACTTTAACGTATAGAGCCATCTCAATTTTTTTAAAAACTGGAATTCACTCTGTCACCTAGGTTGGAGTGTAGTGGCATGATCTCATTTCACTGCAATCTCCGCCTCCTGGGTTCAAGCAATTCTCCCACCTCAGCCTACTGAGTAGCTGGGACTACAGGCGAACACCAGCATACCCAGTGAATTTTTATTTTTTGAGTAGAGAATGGGTTTCACTTTGTTGGCCAGGTTGGTCTCAAATTCCTGACCTCAAGTGATCTGCCAGCCTTGGTCTCCTAAAGTGCTGGGATTACAGTTATGAGCCACTGCACCTGGCTCATCCCAAATTTTAAAGAGAGAGGAAACTCTTTTACTAGATTAATCTCATTTCTTTAAAGAAAAATGATTTAAAAAACAGACAACTTCAACTTCTGCAAAGATGGAGTAGAAATACTATCCACACCCAAGCAGACGTTAAACAAACGTCTTAAACACCTTAAACAAAGGTGTAACTTTGTAACTTCAGCCTCTGATTGGTCACTTTCTGAAACCAATCTGACTGATAACCAGCCACTACTTCATTTACATAGAACGTATACTAAGTTACCAACGGGAAACCTCTAGAGGGCATTTAAACCCCAGAAAATTATATAACTATGCTCTTGAACCAATTGCTCAGCCCACTCCCACCCTGTGGAGTGTGCTTTCATTTTCAGTAAATCTCTGCTTTTGTTGCTTCACCAAAAAAAAAAAAAAAAAAAGGAAAAAGGAAGAAAAAAATACTTTTCCCTAGCTTTCCTGCTAAGTACAACTAGAAGTCCTGGACATTATATATAAAACAAATATAAAAAGACTCAGATTGGTGAAAAGAGAGATGATTGATTAGGAATCTTGGGACCTGAGAAATGACACAGCAATGAGTTCCTGGGTTTTCTTTTTGCTTCATACATTAGATCAACGTTGAGGAAGCTGGTAATCTAGTTACATCAAGGAACAAAAAAAGTCCTGAGAAAAGCCTTTGCTCTCTAGCCAAAGGACCATGAAAGGGTCAGCCTGGCAGGACAGAAAACTTTTAGATAGTAACCAATGTACCTTAACCAACACCACAGAAGAAACTGCAACTCTACTTCCACACAGATGATCAAAGGCCAAGAAGAGATCTTTTTTTTTTTTTTTTTTTTTTTTGACAGAGTCTCACTCTGTTGCCAGGCGCCAGGCTGGAGCGCAGTGGCACAATCTCGGCTCACTGCAACCTCCGCCTCCTGGGTTCAAGCAATTCTCCTGCCTCAGCCTCCCAAGTAGCTGAGACTACAGGCGCACGCCACCATGCCCAGCTAATTTTTATATTTTTAGTAGAGACGGGATTTCTCCATGTTGGCCAGGATGGTCTTGATCTCTTGACCTCATGATCCTCCTGCCTCGGCCTCCCAAAGTGCTGGGATTACAGGCTTGAGCCACGGTGCCTGGCCAGGAAGAGATCTTAGACTTCCCCCTTGTCAGGCTCTATGGAGGTACACAACACATTCACCAGGACATTGTCAGGAAAAGCAGAGTGAAGAGATGGGGATTTCATTCCCACTGGTCAAAAATGAAATGCCAAATACTCTGATATCAATTGAGACTGGGAAGGGAGCTTGGGCTTTCACCCTAGGACATCAAGAGAAGCTGAGTGGGGGAACCTCTACTTTCACCACCAGCTGGCCGTAATAGGTAGTGCACACACTTTCTCTGATATTTGAATATCTGAATGAGACCCAGAGAGTGACAACATAAAAATGGCCCGGTCTCACATCCAAGTACTAGCCAGGCTCAATCCTGTTTAGCTTCTAAGATCAAAGGAGATCAGGCATGTTCAGGGTCAATTGAAAATCACTGATAATTCCAAGAACAACGAAAATCTCAACTCAGTAAGAAAAAACACTTAATTGATGACGACATCAAGATAATAGAAATGTTAGAATTACCTGATAAAGCATGCAAAACAACCATCATAAAATACTTCAACAAGAAGGTGCAAAGAGACTGTAAAAATACATTGCCTCAACAACAAAATAGAAAGTCTCAGCAAATAAATAGAAGACATAAAAAATACCTAAATAGAAATATTAGAACTGAAAAGGTCACTAACCAGACAAGTGGCCGGGCACAGAGACTCACGCCTGTAATCCCAACACTTTGGGAAGCTGAGCTGGGCAAATCACCTGAGGATGGGCGTTCGAGACCAGCTTGACCAACATGAAGAAACCCCATCTCTACTAAAAATACAAAAATTAGCCCAGCCTAGTGGCACATGCCTGTAATCCCAGCTACTCAAGAGGCTGAGGCAGGAGAATCGTTTGAACCTGGGAGGCCGAGGTTGCAGAGAGCCAAGATTGTGCCATTGCATTCTAGCCTGGGCAACAAGAGTGAAACTCCATCTCAAAAAAAAAAAAAAAAAAAAATCTAGACAAGCAAACAAAAACCAAACCAAAGCAACAAAACTCTCAATGGTAGGCTAAAAAGCAGAATGCAGAGAACACTGGAAAGAATTAGTGAACTCAGCGATAGAACAAGATAAAGTATATAATCTGAATATTAGAAACAAATAAATTAGAAGAAAATTAAACAGAGCCTAGAGGCCTGTGAGTGTATAACACATGCTTTCATGTTCAGATCACTGGAAGAAAGGAGAAAGAGAATGGAGCTGAAAAAATATTCAAAAAAATTATGGCTGAGAACTTTCCCAAATTAGAAAAAACTGGTAACATACATATTCAAGAAGCTATGCATATCCCAAACAGGATAAGGCCGAAGAAATCCATTACCATGCAAATCCCCTCTTAATCTGAATGGCTTCCCTTTGTGGTTGACTCGACTTTCCTCTCTGGCTGCCCTTCATAATTTTGCCTTCATTTCAACCCCGGTGAATCTGACGATTATGCGTCTTGGGGTTGCTCTTCTTGAAGAGTATCTTTGTGGTGTTCTCTGTATTTCCTGAATTTGAATGTTGGCCTGTCTTGCTAGGTTGGGGCAGTTCTCCTGGATAATATACTGAAGAGTGTTTTCCAACTTGGTTCCATTCTCTCTGTCACTTTCAGGTACACCAATCAAACACAGGTTTGGTCTTTTCACATAGTCCCATATTTCTTGGAGGCTTTCTTCATTCCCTTTCATTCTTTTCTCTCTAATCTTGCCTTCACGGTTTATTTCATTAAGTTGATTTTCAATCTCTGATATCCTTTCTTCCACTTGATTGATTTGGCTATTCATACTTGTGTATGCTTCACGAAGTTCTTGTGCTGTGTTTTTCAGCTCCATCAGGTCTTTTATGTTCTTCTATAAACTGGTTATTCTAGTTAGCAATTCCTCTAACCTTTTTTTAAGGTTCTTAGCTTCCTAGCACTGGATTAGAACGTGCTCTTTTAGCTTGGAGGAGCTTGTTATTACCCACCTTGTGAAGCCTAGTTCTGTCAATTTGTCAAACTCATTCTCCATCCAGTTTTGATTCCTTGCTGGTGAGGAGTTGTGATCCTTTGGAGGAGAAGAGGCATTCTGTTTTTGGAATTTTCAGGCTTTTTGTGCTACTTTTTCCTCATTGTGGATTTATCTACCTTTAGTCTTTGATGTTGGTGACCTTCAGGTGGGGTTTTCATGTGAACATTCTTTTTGTTGATGTTGATTCTATTCCTGTTTGCTAGTTTTCCTTCTAACAGTCAGGCCCCTCTGCTCCAGGTCTGCTGGAGTTTGCTGGAGGTCCACTCCCGACCCTGTTTGCCTGGATATCACCAGCGGAGGCTGCAGAACAGCAAAGATTGCTGCCCATTTCTTCCTCTGGAAGTTTTGTCTCAGAGGGTCATCCACCAGATCCCAGCCAGAGTTCTCCTCTATGAGGTGTTTGTTGAACCCTGCTGGGAGGTGTCTCCCATTCAGGAGGCATGGGATTAAGGGACCAACTTGAGGCAGTTTGTCCCTTAGCACACCTCAAGTGCTGTGCTGGGAGATCTGCTGCTCTCTTCAGAGCTGGCAGGCAGGAACGTTTAAGTCTGCTGAAGCTGCACCCACAGCCTCACCTTTTCCCAGGTGCTCTGTCCCAGGGAGATGGGAGTTTTATCTATAAGCCCCTGATGGGACTGCTGCCTTTCTTTCAGAGATGCTCTGTCCAGACAGGAGGAATCTAGAGAGTCAGTCTGGCTACAGTGGCTTTGCTGAGCTGTGGTGGGCTCCACCCAGTTTGAACTTCCTGGTGGCTTTGTTTACACTTTGAGGGGAAAACCGCCTATTCAAGCCTCAGTAATGGCGGACGCTCTATTCGCCACCAAACTCAAGCGTCCCAGGTTGACTTCAGACTGCTGTGCTGGCAGCAAGAATTTCAAGCCAGTGGATCTTAGCCTGCTGGGCTACATGGCAGTGGGATCCACTGAGCTAGACCACTTGGCTCTCTGGCTTCGGCTCCCTTTCCAGGGGAGTGAAGGGTTCTATCTTACTGGCATTCTAGAAAGAAAACTAACACCATGCTAAAAGGGAAATTGTGACACTAAATGCTTACATTAGAAAACAAGAGAGGTTTCAAATCAATAGCCTAAGTTCCTGTGTCAAGCAACTAGACAAATAAGAGCAAAATATACCAAAAGCAAGCAAAGAAGAGGAGTGATAAAGATAAAAATGGAAACTTATCATTTTGGTGGTGAGATCATTAAAAATTCATTCTTTTAGCAAGTTTAAAACAGAAATCAATGAAATTGAAAACAGGAAAACGATAGCAAAGACCAATGAAACTAAAATTTGCTTATTTGAAAAACTCAATTAAAATTGATAAAACTCTAAGAAGATTGACAAAGAAGAAAAACAGAAGACACTAATTATTAATATCAGGAATTAAATAGGGAATAGCAATGCAGACCCTGCAGCCATCAAAAGGATAAAATACCATGAACAACGTGAACAACTGTACATGCATAGATTTGACAACTTAGAAGGAATGGGCTACTTCTTTGAAAACCAAAAGATACCATAACTCGCCCAATACAAAACAAATCATTTGAAGAGCCCTTTAACTATTAAGGAATTGAACTATTTTTTTTCTAAAATTCCCCTAAACCAAATCTCCAGGCCTAGATATTTTCACTGGAGAATTCTACCAAATGTTAAAAAAGAATTAACAGCAAATATTCAGACTCTTCTAGAAAATAGAAATGAAAGAAACACTTCCTAACTCATTTTATGAAGCTTGTATTACCCTGATACCAAAACCAAAGAGTACCAAAAAAAAGAAAGAAAACTACAAACCTACAAACCAATGTCTCTCATGAACTTAGATGCAAAGATCCTCAGAAAGAGTTTTCAAAAAAAAATAGACCTCCAATGCACTTTGGATGGACATCCCACCACTGGAGGTAATATCAAGGATGTCTCCAAGATTCAAGTTTTGAGGAGCATATATGTTCCCCGAACCACCATCTATAATACAAAGTGTTTGCAACTAAAAATATTTTATTTAATTTTCATAAACATGATACCAGCTTCAATACTTTGATGATCAACAAAGACCTGAGACCAAATATCAAACTTAGAAATTGGTGTCACCCAACAAAACTAGATTATCTTTAGGTTCATTTGTTGGAAAAGCATGTACTCTTCTTTTTAGTCATATTTCCCTAGCATCTATCTGATTTTGTTGTTAACTTTTGTTGTTGTTGTTGTTTGTTTCTTTCTTTTTGAGATGAATTCTTGCTTTGCCACCCAGGATGGAGTACAGTGGCACTATCTCAGCTCGCTGCAACATCCATCTCCTGTGTCAAACAACTCTCTTACTTCAGACTCCTGAGTAGCTGGGATTACAGGAACGTGCCACCATAACCAGCTTATTTTTGTATTTTTAGTAGACACGGGATTTTACCATGTTGATCAGGATGGTCTCAAACTCTTGACATCAAGTGATCTGCCCACCTCAGCCTCCCAAACTGCTGAGATTACAGGCATGAGCCACCGCGCCCATTCCTTAGCACCTATCTTGATCTGTGATATCTCCTTTCCTCATGGGGAATTTACTGTTCCAGTGATCTCTAGTCTTCCACAATTCAAGAAAAATTAGGAACTGGACTTTCCATCTCTCCTTGCCAATGATGAGGTAGGGTAGGTGTGGTAGGGGAAAGGGTGGAATGGAGAAGAGGAAGGTAAAAATTATGAGATAGAGTTAGATTCTACTAAAGCACTGAGGAGTGAATAAGGGCATTCCACAGAAGGAAGTAATATTTCCAGGATGTTTTCCTGAATGCTAGTCATTCAATATAATTTTTTGGTGATCTGACTAAATTTTAATATAACCCTTGTCTAATCAAGGAATCATCAACTCTTAGGAAACAGGATTTTAATTTGGAACTTTATGTTCTTAATTAAGGGAAGCAACCTAGGGAGCTGTTTGTTAGTGTTGATTTCACACATCCATTCTTGACCTGATCTCACCTGCAGAATATAGCGAATCTGCTGTTTTGTAAACTCTGACAATCCTTTAGGAATCAATGATTCAATGTCTTCTGACTGTAAGAAAAAAAAAAAAGCCTTGTCCATGGAACAGATACATATCAATCATATGATCAGCAATCTACAGACTCCTGTGTAATGGGACATATTTTAGGAATATTAAAAGATTAATTCACTTTTTGAGAAACAGTTTCTATGAGCTTCCTTTAGCCTTATCAGTTCTTACTTTAAAAAATTAATTATATTACGAACAGTATTAAAATAATCCTGAATTCCATGCATTTTGAGGAAAAGCTTTGAGCAACCAATGAAAAGTTCCATTTGTATTCATAAAAAGACAAAATTAAAACAAAAGCAAAATGGCCTACTAAATAGGCCTGCACACTTTATTCATTGTATATTTTTAAAAACTGGAAGTTTTGTTGAGTGGAAGATATGACATTGTTAAAGCTGATTTTTGAAATAATGAAAACGTTGGGAAATAAAATAAAAATTAAGGGTGTTACAGATTTTACTGAGAATTTGTATAGAACTGTAGTGACTTTTGAAAGATTATGATGTTGCTACAACACTGAAAAGCTTCAACTAATTATAAGTGGGGAACTGAAGTACTTTTTTAAGGTAATTTAGGAATTACTGAATAATTGTAATGAATGCAGTATACCAGTAACTGGAAAAATAACGATTAAAAGCACAAAAGAGGCTGCTGTGCTTTTAATTGCATTGAAATAATTTTTCTCTTTGATTATTTTATTAAAAGCAATTATTAAGATAATATGCATATGTACTAGGTTAATACTTGAAAATATTTTTACTTTAAGTTGCTGACTAGCATGGCACATACAAGGCTTTGAAGCATATCAAAACTAAATTTGCTATTTAATCAATCATATAGATTTCAGTTTTCTAAAGCAGAGAATATGTGGTCAGTGAAATATCTCTTGTACCCCATAAATAAATACACCTACTATGTACACACAAAAATTAAAAATAGAACATTTCAAACAAACATTTCAATAAGCATTGACAAATTAAATCATATACTGACAGCTGATAAAAATTTTTATGAATGATTACTAATTTTGTAGCTATTATAAGTACGTAAGTGTTTATATAATTTGAAAGGCAAAGTGGCCAACATTTCTTTCACTTACCTGCATGTTCAGTCTAGCAAAGGTACTTAACTAAAAGAATATTACTATTGCAAATATCAGAATCTACTTTGTTATTATACCATATTTGATTTTCAGGTAGTTTTGCACTTACCTCATCTGTCGACTCAAAGTCCTGTTTGCTGCAAGAACAAATAAAAAAGATAGACAACTTTAGAAAAGTGCATTCACTGATCATATATAAATGCTAGTTTTCTATTTTTATCTTACTTTTTGAAATATAAGAGCACTTATTCAGTTTATAAGCACAAGTGAAAATGTTTAAACTAAAATGGTACTTTTATTTAGTTTGACTAAAATAATTTTTCTGGAATTCCCAGATCTATTAAGAATGAACATCTGAATAACAAAACAATAAAATATGCAGAAATGGTTAGTGCCATCCACTAACACCAGTTTAATTGCAGCTAGTTTAGAAGTTCTCAGTGCTTGGCAATAAATGCTACTTGGGTGAATAAATAACGAAAATAGCATTTATCTCTCTATTTCCATCTTCCTTTTCTTCTCCTTCTTGTATCTTTCAGTGCTGATTCCATCTTCTCTCCACAGTGTTTTCAAGTTCTTCATACCCTCTTTAACAAAATCAAAACTTGCAAGACAAGCCTGAATAACTTATTTAATCTATACTAGAATATATTCGGCAATGATGAGGCTTGAAGGATATTTGAATCTTTACATAGGGACAAAACATTAAGCAAAATGATCAAAATTCTATTAGGGTAATAGAATTTCCAGCATAATAATGAGGCTTTGGTCACACAGGTTGAAAAACCCTTTGTGGAGCTATGTTAGGTAGGAAAATGTTGCAGGAAAATTGTTACTGGTTATACCACACTGGCACTTACTCCTTTGAGAATGTTGAAAACTGGAAAAGATACACTTACAGTGTTGTCTGAGGCAAGACACAGGCCTTCATTTTTGCCAACTTGTTCCTGCTCCGCTTGATGGAAGAATTAGGCCCAAAATATATATGGTAAACATACTACTCAAACAAACAAATAAACAAAAAACAGTAAACATGGGTTTTGACAGAAGACAGACCATTTATTTTATTTTGAAATCATTAACTTGTCTTTATTACCTGATAGAATTTTATCATGAAAACATTCCAAGATTGATTGATCTATTCACTTTTGAAACTTTTGTTTTAGGTTGAGGGGTACATGTACAGGTCTGCTATATAGGTAAATTGCATTTTGTGGTGGTTTGGTGTACAAATTATTTCATCACTGAGGTAATAAGCACAGTACCCAATAGATAGTTTCTTTATCCTCATCCTCCTCCCACCCTCCACCCTCAAGTAGGCATCAGTATCTGATGTTTCCTTCTTTGTGTCTATATGTACTCAGTGTTTACCTACCACTTATACATGAGAACATACAGTATTTGGCTTTCTGTTCCTGAATTAGTTTGCTAAGAATAATGGCTTCCAGCTCCTTCCACGACTCTGCAAACGAAATAATCTCATTCTTTTATGTGGCTATGTACTATTAGATGGTGTAGATGTACCACATTTATTTTATCTAGTCTACCATCAATGGGCATTTAGGTTAATTCCATGTCATTGCTGTTGTGAATAGTGCTGCAATGAACATAGGTGTGCAAGTGTCTTTATGCTAGAACAATTTATATCCCTTTGGGTATTGGTTGAAACAGTTTGACAATTAGTCCAAGAACTTTAAACCGAATCAGCATTTGATTCAGTAGAATTGCTGGGTCAAATGCTGGTTCTGTTTTAAGTTCTCGAACAAATTGCCAAACTGCTTTCCACAATGGCTAACCTAGTTTAGGTACCCACCAGCAGTGCATAAGAATTCCCTTGTCTCCACAACTATGCCAGCATCTGCTATTTTTTGACGTTTTAATAACAGCCATTCTGACTGCTGTGAGAAGGTATTTCATTATGGTTTTGATTTGCATTTCTCTAATGTTCAGTGATGTTGAGGGTTTTCATATGCTTGTCAGTCATGTATGTCTTCTTTTGAAAAGTGTCTGTTCATGTCATCTGCCCACTTTTTAATGAGGTTGTTTGTTTTTTGCTTGTAAATTGTCAAAAAGAAGTGTGGCAATTTCTCAAAGACCAAAGACAGAGATACCATTTGACCCAGCAATCACATTCCTGGGTATATACCCAAAGGAATATCAATAATTCTATTGTAAAGGTGCATGCATGCATATGTTCATTGCAGCGCTATTCACAATAGCAAAGATGTGGAATCAACCTAAATGCCCATCAGTGATAGACCGGTTAAAGAAAATGGGTATTAGGTTTAATACCTAGTTGATGAAATAATCTGTACAACAAACTCCCATGATGCAAATTTACCTGTGTAACAAACCTGTACTTGTACCCCTGAACTTTAAAAAATGTTTAAGTTTCTTATAGATTCTGTATATTACACCTGTGCTGGATGTATAATTTGCAAATATTTTCTTCTCTTATTCTGTAGATTGTCTTTTACGTCTGTTGATAATTTATTTTGCTGTGCAGAAGCTCTTTAGCTCAATTATGTCACATTTGCCTGTTATGAAGTCTTTGTCGGGTCTGATGTCTAGAATAATATTTCCTAGGTTATCTTCCAGAATTTTTATTGATTTTTGTTTCAGGTTTAAATCTTTAATACATCTTGAGTTAATTTTAGTATGTCGTGTAAGGAGGGTTCCACTTTCAATCTTCTGCATAGGGGTAGCAATTTATCCTAGCACCATTTACTGAATAGGGAGTCCTTTCTGCATTGCATATTTTTGTAGATTTTGTCAAAGGTCAGATAGTTGTAGATGTGTGGTCATTATTTCTGGGACCTCTATTCTGTTCCATGGATCTATGTGTCTGTTTTTGTAGCAACACCATGCTGTTTTGGTTACTGTTGCCTTGTAGTGGAGTTTTAAGTTGGGTAATCTGATGCCTTCAGCTTTGTTCTTTTTGCTTATGATTGTCTTGCTGTTCCAGTCTTTTATGGTTTCATATGAATTTCAAAATAGCTTTCTTTAACTCGGTAAAGAATGACATTGCTAGCTTGATAGGAATAGCATTGAATCTGTAAATGGCTTTGGGCAGTATTGACATTTTGACAATACTGATTATTCCTCTCCATTAGCATGGAATGTTTTTCCATTTGTTGGTGTCATCTCTGATTTCTTTGAGCAGTGTTTTGTAATTCTTATTGTAGAGGTCTTTTACTTCCTGAGTTGGCTGTATTCCTATGTGTTTTATTCTTTTTGTGGCAACCATGAATAAGATTGTGTTCTTGATTTGGATCTCAGACTGGATATTGTTGGTGTATCGAAATGTAATTGATTGTTGTACATTAATTTTATATCCTAAAACTTTAAGTGGTGTATCAAATCAAGGAGATTTTGGGTGGAAACTATGGGGTTTTCTAGGTATAGAATCATATTTTCTGCCAACAGGGATAGTTTGACTTCCTTTCTTCCTGCTTAAATGCGCTTTATTTTTTTCTCTTACCTGATTGCTCTGGCTGGGAATTCCAGTGCGATGTTGCATAGAAGTGGTGAGAGAGAACATTCTTATCTTGTTCTGGTGTGGAGAAGAATGTTTCTTTTTCCAAATTAGTATGATGTTGCCTATGAGCTTGTTAGAGATGGCTTTTATTATTTTGAAGTATGTTTCTTTAATTCCTAGTTTCTTGAGAGGTTTTAACATGAAAGGATCTTAAATTTCATCAAAAAACCTTTTCTGTATCTATTGAGTGATCATGTAGTTTTTGTCTTCAGTTCTGTACATATGGTAAATAGCATTTATTGATTTGCATATGTTAAATCAACCTTGCCTCCTAGGAATAAAGCCTACTTGACTGTGGTGTGGATTAGCTTTTTGATATGCTGCTTAATTTGGTTTGCTAGTATTTTATTGGAGATATTTTTCATCAATGTTCATCAAGGATATTGGCCTTAAGTTTAATTTTTTCTTGTGTCCATGCCAGGTTTTGGTATCAGGATGATGCTGGCCTCATAGAATGAGTTAAAAAGGAATCCTTCTTTCTCATTTTTTTTTTTTTCAGAATTGTTTCAGTAGAAATGATACCAACTCTTCCTTATACATTTGGTAGAATTTGGCTGTGAATCCATCCAGTTTTGGGCTTTTTCTATTTGCTAGACTATTTATTACTGACTCAGTTTCAGACCTCATTATTGGGCTGTTCAAAGATTCAGTCTTCTCCTGGTTCAATCTTCAGAAGCTGTATATTTCCAGGAATGTATTTCTTACAGGTTTTCTAGCTTGTGTGCATAAGGGTGCTTGTAATAGTCTTCGAGGGATTTTTGTATTTCTATCCCCTTTTCATTTCTGATTGCATTTATTTGTATCTTCTCACTTTTTCTCTTTATTAGTCTAGCTAAAGGTCTATCATTTCCATTAATTCTTTCAAGGAACCAGCTTCTGGATTCATTGATCTTTTGTATGGTTTTTCATGTCTCAGTTTCCTTCAGTTCAGCTTGAATTTGCTTATTTCTTGTCTTCTGCCAACTCTGGGGTTAGTTTGCTCTTGTTTCTGTAGCTCCTCTGGTTGTGGTTTGGGGTTGTTAATTTGAGATCTTTCTAACTTTTTGATATGGGAGGTTAGTACCATAAACTTCCCTCTTAACACTGCTTTGTCTATATCCCAGAGATTCTGATATGTTGTATCTTTGTTGTCATTAGTTTCGAAAAATTTCTTGATATCTTTGTTGTCATTTGTTTCAAAATTTTTCTTGATTTCTGCCTTAATTTCATTATTTACCCAGAAGTCATTCAGGAGCAGATTGTTTCATTTCCATTTAATTATGTGGTTTTGCGTGATTTTCTTAGCATCAATTTCTATTATTCTTGCACTGTGGTTCAAGAGTGCAGTTGGTGTGACTTCATGTTCTGTGTACTTGCTGAGGATTGTTTTGTGCCCAGTTTTTGGGTCAATTTTGAAATATGTGCCATGTGCAAATGAGAAGAATGCATAGTCTTGTTGTTTTGAGGTGGAGAGTTCTGTAGCTATCTATTAGGTCCATTTTGTGAAGTGTTGAGTTAAGGTTCTGAATATCTTTGTTAGTTTTCCACCTCACTGATATGTCTAATATTGTCAGTGGAGTTTAACAGTCTCCCACTGTTATTGTGTTATCTAAATCTCTT